TATATATATATCATATATCATAATTTCCTGCACTGTCTTATTCTATATGAATTACCGTTGGTATGTTGCTGAAGACAGAAGCTGATGTTGTTGGTTTCTGGGGAGAAAGGAAAATCGTTACATAGGATCATAGAAGTCTCCGTTAAATAGCCTAATATAAAATACGACACAGCCAACCACTCACTGGAGCAGGACCCTCGGTCGTTCGGCTTCTATGGAGGAAAAAAAAGCTTTAAGCTTCTGCTTTTATTAAACACATAACGGTCTATGTTTGGCAGAAACACATTGTAGCCTGTTCCTACAACATGTAAAAGGGTATGTCAGACTTTTAACTTAGTGTACGACTTTTCGGTTTATCCTGAGCCAGGTAATTTAAAGCCGCCCACTCTTTTGCTATTTTCCACAATAAAGCTTTTTCCTTACCTTGGTTTCTCGCACTTGGTGTTATTAGTTGGGGTGCATTTGCTCACGACGCGTTCCCCGGACTGGCACGGGGAGCAGGGCTGACAGTCATATCTGCTGCCATCGTTGAAAGTGTTAGATTGGCACGGTAGGAACGTTACTTCGTGGCGCGCTCCGTCGTCACCGTAGCCACAGTTAGTGGTAGTTTTATGTCCTATATTATAGAAAACACTTAACATAGCACATAACATAACCCAACATAACATAACATAATGATTTACCTGGGCTTTTAGGACACGGCACACATTCACCAACTTCTATCCGCCAACGGGTTGTCGGATCTCTGCATATGTCAGAGTGACCCATTTTGGGTAAGCTACGCCGTAGACTGAAGGATTCGTTTCTGACCTCAGCGTAGGGCCTCCCACACAGTCGCTGTTTACAGATGTACCCTGGTAGACTGGTGGTTAAAACGAGCGCTCTCGTGGCTGTGGCACTGAGTCACGGTCGCATCAGGCATAAAAACCGTGCCAAATGTCATCATGCGAGTCGCTGTGGAGATCCCTAAACGGGAATAACCGGAGGTGACTTTCTACTGTAAAGGAGCACCCCTTCTATTTTACCACCCAGGTCAGTTTAATTGCCAAGACAGCACAGTTTGTTTAAATGATGCCTCCCCTGGCTCTCATGGGAAGAAAACCCCAGTGATTTCAGCATGGAAGGATAATGAGTTTGTTTGTATTTCAAGCCAAAATTTTGGGTTATGTTGGCAGAGATCATACGGGAAAGCCTAAAACCGCCTGCTGTTGAGTTGCTTTACTGGAAATGTAGAATCAAGTGTTTTTGTAGGCCCTAGACTAAAGTCAGGATAGCTCCTCTGATCCAGGTTTATGTTTCACTTGCCAGTATAACACTGACTCTCTAGTTTAATTAGTATAAAGCCTGAGCAGTTAAAGATTCTGAAGAGCTGGATTTTGTTTGGGAGAAGATTCAAGATTTTTATTGGCCATTTATGCATAAACAGGCAGTCTAAGCATATACAGGTGCTGGTCATATAATTAGAATATCATCAAAAAGTTCATTTATTTCACTAATTCCATTCAAAAAGTGAAACTTGTATATTATATCCATTCATTACACACAGACTGATATATTTCAAATGTTTATTTCTTTTAATTTTGATGATTATAACTGACAACCAATGAAAACCCCAAATTCGGTATCTCAGAAAATTAGAATATTGTGAAAAGGTTCAATATTGAAGACACCTGGTGCCACACTCTAATCAGCTATTTGACTCAAAACACCTGCAAAGGCCTTTAAATGGTGTCTCAGTCTAGTTCTGTAGGCTACACAATCATGGGGAAGACTGCTGACCTGACAGTTGTCCAAAAGACCACCATTGACACCTTGCACAAGGAGGGCAAGACACAAAAGGTCATTGCAGAAGAGGCTGGCTGTTCACAGAGCTCTGTGTCCAAGCACATTAATAGAGAGGCGAAGGGAAGGAAAAGATGTGGTAGAAAAAAGTGTACAAGCAAAAGGGATAACCGCACCCTGGAGAGGATTGTGAAACAAAACCGATTCAAAAATGTGGGGGAGATTCACAAAGAGTGGACTGCAGCTGGAGTCAGTGCTTCAAGAACCACTACGCACAGACGTATGAAAGACATGAGTTTCAGCTGTCACATTCCTTGTGTCAAGCCACTCTTGAACAACAGACAGCGTCAGAAGCGTCTCACCTGGGCTAAAGACAAAAAGGACTGGACTGCTGCTGAGTGGTCCAAAGTCATGTTCTCTGATGAAAGTAAATTTTGCATTACCTTTGGAAATCAGGGTCCCAGAGTCTGGAGGAAGAGAGGAGAGGCACAGAATCCACGTTGCTTGAGGTCCAGTGTAAAGTTTCCACAGTCAGTGATGGTTTGGGGTGCCATGTCATCTGCTGGTGTTGGGCCACTGTGTTTTCTGAGGTCCAAGGTCAATGCAGCCGTATACCAGGAAGTTTTAGAGCACTTCATGCTTCCTGCTGCTGACCAACTTTATGGAGATGCAGATTTCATTTTCCAACAGGACTTGGCACCTGCACACAGTGCCAAACCTACCAGTACCTGGTTTAAGGACCATGGTATCCCTGTTCTTAATTGGCCAGCAAACTCGCCTGACCTTAACCCCATAGAAAATCTATGGGGTATTGTGAAGAGGAAGATGCGATATGCCAGACCCAACAATGCAGAAGAGCTGAAGGCCACTATCAGAGCAACCTGGGCTCTCATAACACCTGAGCAGTGCCACAGACTGATCGACTCCATGCCACGCCGCATTGCTGCAGTAATTCAGGCAAAAGGAGCCCCAACTAAGTATTGAGTGCTGTACATGCTCATACTTTTCATGTTCATACTTTTCAGTTGGCCAAGATTTCTAAAAATCCTTTCTTTGTATTGGTATTCAGTAATATTCTAATTTTCTGAGATACCGAATTTGGGGTTTTCATTAGTTGTCAGTTATAATCATCACAATTAAAAGAAATAAACATTTGAAATATATCAGTCTGTGTGTAATGAATGAATATAATATACAAGTTTCACTTTTTGAATGGAATTAATGAAATAAATCAACTTTTTGATGATATTCTAATTATATGACCAGCACCTGTATGTATTTATACAGAGCTCCATCAACAGCAGTGAGGTTCTTGCTGGATAAATGCAGAAGACGTTAGTTGTCTGCATGTCCTGAGTTGTTGTGGCTGTCTTTTTTAAAATAAAATTGAATTCTGTATAATTTTAGGAAAAGAATCTCCTATGGATTTGAACATAATCAGATGGGGAGGGTGGAAAATATGTGCCAAGAAGAAGAAAACAGTAGAAAAAAATACATACATATACATATATATATTTATATACAGGAAGGAAAGAACACCCCAAAGTGGTGGGGCGAGTGGGAAATCATCACCCCCACAATCGGGGGAATCTATGTATATATACAACCATAAAGTATAAATATATATAT